ACACAACGCCGTCGAAGCTATTGATTGAATATATTTTCTTATAAAACTTATCGCAAACTATAATATAATGGGAATCCAGTAAATAAGGCGATCAATAATCCGCTGTACGGTATATATTAACGCAATAATATGTATTATACTGTATATAATTCACACCGAGATTTTGAAATATTTTCTATTTTTACACTTAAATACAACACATATTATTGTGAAAATATATTGAAACTTTGACACAATTGCTTTGAAACACGAAAGCAACACAAAGCCTAGTGATTACTCTTTTTATTCAAGTTATAAGTTCATATAAAATCAATACAATTTCGTTTTATCATCATTATTTTAGGATATTTTTAGTATTATCTAGTTAAATTGTTCTAACAATGTTCTAATATTAAATATTCACAAATAAAATCCACTTTAAAAAAACACGAATAATATAATATCAATATATCACAATTAATAATTAATTATTTATAAATTATAAATATAATTTTGTATTTTATTTATGCAATTATAATACAATATTTTACAAAATACATGTTTAATTTGTGTCATAAATTTGAAATTTTATAAATTATTAAACAGATAATAACATATAGGGAACAAATGATTTCATAATTAATTAAATAAAAATGAATAATTTATAACAATATTAGGCCTCATATTTTATTGGATGGCTTTTGTTGGATGACATAAGTCTGCGTTTGGGTCTCTTCACTCTGGGCTGCTCTCCGGGCGGGAATTCAAGCAATTTTTGGACACTTTTATTCAATGGAGACGTGAATCTCAGCATAACTATGACACTTATCAGCACTATTGCCTCATTGGGTATGTTTGTAAATTTAAATTAATATCAAATTAATAATAGGTTACATAAGTTTTATTTGTTGCATAAAATAGTTGCTATAAATTATAGCCTATAATATTACTAAATGTATTTTGTATAACGTATTTTGTAATACTGTATTAATCTACATATTATAAAATACTAATTTAGTTATTATGTAATATTTATTGACCGACTGATTGAAATTGAATTTCCGATGAATATTTTAATGAAGTAAACAGAATATAAGACAACAAAAATAGGCTTTCATGCAATTAAGCAATCAATAAAACAAATGTAAAACCAACTCAGAAAATGTCATGTATTGTCAAATAAAGCAGAATAAACAGAATTCAGTTGAAATAAATATTAACATAAAAATGCACTGTAACTCAAACTGCTTTTTGTATATAACAAAAACATATCATGTAATGCATAAATAAATCTGAAATTTTATAATATAAGCAATGGATAAGAATACTATTAAAATAGATAAGCATTTATTGAAGACATGTTTGGTTGCATTCAGATCAGCATATTTTGTATACAAAAGACAATATACTTTTGCATTTAAGCTGACAATTATAGTTATAATTAGAGCTTTCACTCATGAAATTTGATCCATTCATAAGAATTGTGTTAAATTATGTAAAATACTTGACCGAACAATTTATCATTATAATTAGATCTTATATACAGTACATTACAGAACTGCTTGAATATAGTTTAAAGTGCATGTATTAGGTCTTTAATTAGTTAGCTTGTTATTTTTAAAATATGTAATACATGTGTATTATGTGTAAAGTATATACAATGTATGTATAACAATTATCAATTATTTAATTATAGCAATGATGCCATTATGGTTGTTCACTTTGGGCGGAAATCTATTCAGCGCAGGCAATATCCGGATCCCGTACCTAAACCTATTGACATCGTTGGTTACGCTGACATTACCCATGTTTATCGGAATAGTGATCCGACACTATAAACCCAATTGGGCTAAAGTGTCGCATAAGATAATCAAACCCTTTACTATTGTTG